GTCGCACTGTGTCTTATTTCACCGCTGGGCCCTCACTGTGAACTTGCTAAGATACTTGCATATAAATGGAACAAGACTTCCGGGAGTTGAAGACGGATTCACAAGGGTACCTCTTGCTCCCAGTGATGGAGTGGGATCTTTCAAACCCTTGGGCTCCAACTCAGTTTTGGACAGAAAGACAAGATTACGTTATTAAAGGAAAGCTGAATCGATTCTTGGTTAATGCAGCAAGTGCTGGCTCGGTGAGTAACTCCCGTGAACTGCTGGAAATAAAGGACTTCAAAGATAGCCGTCTCTGGAACGTGTGTGCCCTTAACTGTTGACTAGTCAGATGTCCCTGGGAGCCATTTGTTCACCGGACACCTGGCCACATGCAGAAGTGGCACTTTCTTCATGTACCCAGTTCACGAGCATCCACTGCACACCGTTTAGTCCTCCAAGAATGGAATGTAGCCGCTGGGGTTACAGCAGGAGGTCAGGAGACGGGGCCCTCTGCTCCCAGAGCCCAAGAGTGGTAAGGAGCCAGGCACGTCACTGGTCAGTTACACACAGTCTGCGTGTTAGTGCAGGACAGAAACAGGTGCCCCGGGGCCCAGGCCAGCCGGCCTCTGACTGAGTCGTGCCAAGGAAGGCTTCCTGGAAGATGTGTTATCCGAGCCCATTGGGAGGCAGTTGGGTGGAGGTGGCAGTAAGGGCTCATACTAAGGCCCAGAGGTGGGAGGGAGCACAGCAACATCAGGGAACTGAAATGCTGCAGCGCTGAACACGGTGCTGGGCAGGGGTGGGAGGGCATGTGCAGTCACAGCTAAGTCGGGTTAGCATGGCAAGGAGCCTCGAGTTTTATTTTGAAGGCAGTGGGGAGCCACTGAGGGTTGGAAGCAGAGCGATGTGCTTGGTTGTATTCTAGGAGGTTCACCAGGCTCTGGCTTTGTGCCTGAGGTGCCCATAGGGGACTGTGACCCATGAGGCTGAGACACTGATTCACCTCTGCCTGTACCATGTCCCTGAAGTAACAGGTGTCCCTTACACTGCTTAGATGAGCATCCCAAAGAGGATGAGAACAAAAGTCTGTCTTCAGGGAGTCTCCTGGCTGGATGGAGGCACAGATGAACAGGCGTCAAGCGGTTAGCTGGCACTACAGGAAGGATGCTCTCAGCCCCCGAGGGGTCCCACGGGCCGGTTTACAGGTGCTCAGACAAAGGGGAGATTTGGGAGGGCAGAGGTGGTCAGGGAAGGCTTCCTAGAAGAGGTAAGGCAGCTTCTAGACCTTGTGGGATAACTAGAACCAGGGAAGGCAAAAGAAGCATAGAGGCCTAGGGAGGCAGTGCCATGGCAGGAAAAATACCCAGCAGTTGGCCCTAGAAAACTCAGTGCCATGGCAGGAAAAATACCCAGCAGTTGATCCTAGAAAGCTTGAGTCCTGGAGACTAAACAGGAGCACAATGGTAAGATGCCATGCTCCGGGAGGATCCCCCACCTGGGAAGGTTCTGGATGTGCACCTAGAGACCGCTCAGAATACACCAGGCATGCCCGCGATCCCAGGCGGACTGAGGCTGGGTGGATTGTGGCATTGAGAACCTTTAGGGAGTTCTGTCTCTTGTCTGTCTGCCTGTCTGGCTTTGTTCCTCTCATGGAAGAAATAAACCTTAAAAAAAAGAAAAGAGGGCCAACCCCATAGTGCAGCAGCTAAGTCAGGAGGCCAGATCCACATGGCTGCTAGGGTTTGCCACACGTGCCCAGGAGCCCGATGGGATGGAGACCAGGAGGAGGGGGAATTGTGGCGTGACACGCCCTGCTGGGGTACATCTGTCTCCTGTGTGCAGGCATGCACTTTATCGTGGACAAAGGGGACACATTTCAAAAAGAAAAGGAAACCTGGGTCCACAGCCTACTTAACCACAGGCAAGTAACAGGCACCTGTCGTGGTCTCTGTGAAGAAGTTTGACGGGCCCCCGGCTGGCCCTGTCCTCCACACTTGGCCCGAAGAGTACTCACTGCAGGGTTCCGACCCACCTTAAGGGAATCCCAGGTGCCTCTACCAGGACTTCACTTCCTACAGGGAAGAGTCCTTTTAGGGCCTGTCGACGCAGGGCAGAGCCTAAAATATTCTGGACTGGAGGAAGGAAAGAGCTGAATCCACTCTTGGTAACGTTGTGGGCGCTGGAATCCTGAACAATCTGTCTTTAACCTTGGTCATCTGTTCTCGTGTTGGTACTTTCTGAACTCACCTGTTCTCATCTGTGCAATGGGTACTTCTGTTCTCATGGTTGGTAAAATGGTTAAATGAGACAGACCATCTGGACGAATGGTCCTGGGTCCTATCCGGCATCGTGTTGATGGAACATGCGAACGGTGGCCACCAGGTGGCAGCAGGGCTCTTCCAATCAGCTGAGGGGATGCTGGACAGGCTCCTGGGGTCCATCCCAAATGTGGCAGTGGACTTCAGGGAGTGCACATGAGGGGAAAGACCAGGTGCAAGACATGGGTGCAAGACATTAGGGAGTGGTGGGGCCTGTGTTGGACCAGAGCGTGCACACTCAGTCAGAGCTGCAGCTTCTTGGCTCCAACCAACCACTGCCATGGCGGAAGGAGGCCCCAGTGCTGCCGGCATTCTGCTGACTTTTCAAGAGAAGCCAGAAGCCAGGGTTTTCTTCTTGTTTTAATTTGCTATAGGGCACGTGCACTTGCAAGAGAGAGACAGAAAGAGAGGAGGGGGGAAATTGAGACATCGCCTCCTAGGAGGAGTGACCATACCGCAATCCCTTCTTCTCTACTCTCGTCTTCGGATTTTAGGCATGCACATATGCACGCCCCATGTGCTTTTCTTTCTTTTTATTTATTATTTTTTTAAGAGAGAGATTTGCTATATGGCGAGTGTGCTCACCGGCCAGACAGATGGAGAACAAGAAATCATCCCTCAGGGGAATGACCATGCCACAATCCGTTCTCCATTCTCCTCCTGGGATTTTGGGCATGCACACACATGTGCCCATCATGAGTTTTAAGCCACTTAAAACTTGGATCCAGGACTCAAACTGCAGTCGACCCTGTGGGAGTCCAGTGACGGAACCATTTAACTATCTGCTGGCTTCCCATGTGCTTTT